ACGTGGATGGGGAAAGGTGCGGTTCGGGTGGTTTTGTGGAAGAGTTGGCATGCTCAGTGTTGAGCATGTTACATTTTTTATGCTTAGAGTCATCTAGAGGTAACTATGTGCTACTCCTCAGTGACGGTGTGTCGTTTGCCAAGGTCACCAAGAGACTGACAGGAAGAGAAATGACTCAGAGACTGAGTCCCGATGTGTCTCATTCTTGAATGGATGCAAAAGAGACCGGGAGACGAAAACAGTCAATGTGATATTCTAGATGCCAAAGAAAACGGGGTGGGGAGCAAGTTCCAGGAGATCTAATGCCCTCTTCTTTTCTTTTTTTTTTTTTTCTTACTGATTTTATTGAGCTCTACATTTTTCTCTGCTCCCCTGCTTTCCTCTCCCCTTCCCTTCAACCCTCTCCCATGGTCCCCATGCTCCCAATTTACTCAGGAGATCTTGTCTTTTTATACTTCCCGTGTAGATTAGATCCATGTATGTCTCTCTTAGGTTCCTCGTTGTCTAGGTTCTCAGGGATTGTGAATTACATACTGGTTTTCTTTGCTTTATGTCTAAAAACCACTTATGAGTGAGTACATGTGATAATTGTCTTTCTGTGTCTGTGTTACCTCACTAATGATGTTTTCTAGATCCATCCATTTTCCTGCAAAATTCAAGATGTCGTTATTTTTTTCTGCTGTGTAGTACTCCATTGTGTAAATGTTTCACATTTTCCTTATCCATTCTTCTGTTGAGGGGCATTTAGGTTGTTTCCAGGTTCTGGCTATGACAAACAATGCTGCTATCAACATAGTTGAGTATATGTCCTTGTGGTACAATTGAGCATCCTTTAGATATATATCCAAAAGTGGTATTGCTGGATCTTGAGGTAGGTTGTTTCCTAATTTTCTGGGAAATCACAATACTGATATCCAAAAGGATGATGCCCTCTTCTGACCTTCATGGGCACCAGGCATATACATAATATACAGATACGTGCAGGCAAACACTTATATCCATAAATAACAAAAATTGTAGAAGAGGGTGGTTGACCAATGGGCACAACGGCAATGGGTTGCATGCTGATGATCGCTGAGGGCTCATCTTGTAGAATTTCTGTTTCTGTTTTGTTAGTGAAAAGGAAGCAGGCTGGAGAGATGGCTCAGATGTTAAGAGCACTGGCTGTTCTTCCAGTGGTACTGAGTTCAATTCTCAGCAACTACATGGTAGCTCACAAGCATGGCAGGCATACGTGCAGTACAGAACACTGTATACATAATAAATATATAAATCTTTATTTTAAAAATGAGGAAGCAAGGTTATCATTGAGAATGAGAAACAAGGGGGAGACGTGAAGATCCAAGGAGAGGGGCGTCTGCAGGAAATAGCAGGGATAGGGTCCTGAGCAGCATAGAAGACCCACCGGAAGAGAGTGGCCCTGGCTGGAGAGCGAGATGGGAAATGGTTAGTTGGCTGCCTCGTGAGCTGCAAGAGCATAGCCACAATTCAGTGTGGGGGCTGGAGTTCTTTAGGACTGGGGTTAGGCATACGGCTGTGGAAGGGGAGGCATTCATGGGGAATGAGAGGGTTATAAGAGTAGACATGGATCAAAGCAGGCAGAAAGACTGAAAGTTGTAGGTCCTGCCGAGGTGGGAGAATTGTTAGCTTTGGGTGGGAGAAGGAATGGACTGGAAAGATGGGGGGGGGCAGTGTTTGGGGGAGTGACAGGTATAAGATCAGAAACCTGGGACACACTTATAGGACACACCAGGGAGATCTTAAGGTTTCTAGACCATGCAATGATAAAAGAAAAAAGTGGATAAAATTAGCTTTAACAACATAATCTCCTTTACAGGTAACTAAGATAGTGGTAAGAATCTGGTCCTTGCAATGAAGAAAGCCTGGCTAGCTTCGCTTTCTTTAGAGATGGGGAGAGTTCACAGACACCACAGCATGTGGAGGTCAGTCGGAGGGCGGCCCACAGGAGCCAATTAGCTTTACCCTGTGGTTTGGGGTGTTGAACTTGGGCCACCAGGCTTACCAGCAGACATGTTTACCCGCTGAGCCATCTCTCCAGCCTCTAGACCTCAGTTTCCCCCTCTGGGAAATGTCTCCTGGGCGACGTGTAGCGTGTGGAAGTGCTGGAATGTCACATCTGAGTTTTCCTCGGTTCTTCCTTCACATCATTAGCGGAGACATGTTTCTGAATCACACACCTGACCACACAATTCCCTGGTTTCAAACCCTGTGGAGCCCGTAGGATCATTTACTGTGCCATGTGGTATCCGGCCACTTTGATTCATCTTCTGCAGCTCACCTCTCAGCTGAGGTTGGTTGTTCTCATCCTGTTTGTTAGATAAAGAATGCTGTGTGCCTGACCTGTGTGCTTTGCTGGGCTCTCTGCCCTTTCCTGAACCATTGTAAATGTCACCTCTGAGTATGTCACTCTCCTGACCCCAGGACCTCCCTTGTCAAGACCATGTACCCTTTGTACGTCATATTCTGTCTCTGTGGCAGGACTGTGAATTATAAAGTCTCTGATCAATGCTTGTATCTTTGGCACCTAATTTTTAAGAATTGTTATTGTCACTTACTGTAGGTAAGCTTTTAAAAAATGTGCCATTTTATATTGTAAGGCAGGGGATCACACGTAACAGCCCATTTTCTTTGGGCTGTGTGTGCGCTTGCCTGTCTGATATGCCTAACACCACTCCTTATGCCCAGCCCCAAACTGAATAGCGCCTTCCCCCTTTTAAAAAAAAAAAAAAAAAAAAAGCCAGTCTTTCTGGGAGCCTTTCCTGTAGAACTGAGTGCGCCTTTTCTGTTTGCTCTGCGTCTTGTATTCAGCTGTGTGGTTTGGGCTCTTCCATGGCATTGTGATGAAAAGGAAAAAAATGCCCAGTTTCTCCAAAGGCTAGAATATGATGGCAGGGGTACTTGACCTTGGATGCACCTATGGCCTCGGCTAGGTGATGTTTTTTGTTGGTTTGATTTGGTTTGATTTTTGTTTTTCTAGACAAGCTTTCTCCGTGTCATAGCCCTGACTGTCCTGGAACTCGTATCATAGACCAGACTGGCCTTGAACTCACAGAGGTCGCCTGCCTCTGCCTTCCAACTAGTTGAATGTGTAAGTACAGGTTGGTGTGTGTGTACGTGTGTGTATGTTGGTTTTGTTTGGAGTTTTTTGTTTGTTTCTTTGCTTGGTTTTGTTTTTAAAAGTGGGTCTCCATATGTATCTCTGACAGACTTGGAACTCACTTTGTAGAGCAGGACAGCCTTGAACTCACCGGCCTCTGCCTCCTGAGTACTGGCACTAAAGATATGCACCATCACACCCAGTTTTTTAAATATTTAAGATTACAAAATAATGAAAAGGTTCCATACCTTTTTCTCTTTTAACATCTTTGTTGTTGAGAATAAATTTATGATTTTATAATCTTCCAGAAAGACGCCAAATAATGACTTAATGGGGAAAAAAAGAGTGTTTGTGTGTGTGTGTGTGTGTATTTTTTGTATGATTGTGTAAACCAGAACTTTGTTTATCCTAAATAAGTACTCTACCACCAAACTATGACCTTTGCCATTTATGTAATATATATGGGTATGTGTGTGTATGTATGTGTGTATATGTATGTATGTGTGTGGTAGGATTAGGTTATAATATTTCTGTTTTACAATTTTTATGAGTGTGCTGCTGGCATGTATGTTTATGCACCTCGTGTGTGTCCGAAGAGGGCACAATGGATGGTGGTGAGCCACCGTGTAGGTGCTGGAAATTGAACCTGTGTCCTCTGCAAGACCAAGTGCTGGATCTGGTGTAGGTGACTTTAGTCCTAGCATGCAGGAGTTGGAGTCAGCGGATGTTTATGCATTTGAGGCCAGCCTGGCTTCCGAGTGGGTTCCAGGCCAGCCAGGACCGCTTGTTGAGAAGACTCTGTCTCAGAAAACAAACAGAAAGCCGGGTGGTGGTGGTGCACTCTTTAATCCCAGCACTCGGGAGGCAGAGGCAGGTGGATCTCTATGAGTTCGAGGCCAACCTGGTCTCCAGAGCTAGTTCTAGGACAGACTCCAAAGCTACATAGAGAAACCCTGTCTTGACAAACCAAAACCAAAAACAAAACAAAAAGGAAACAGAAAAAAAAAAAAAAAAAAAAACACATGCTCAGGGCTGGAGAGATGGCTCAGCAGTTGAGAGCACTGACTGACTCCTCTTCCAGAGGACGAGGATTCAGTCTGCAGCGCCCACATGGCAGCTCACAACTGTCCGTAACTCCACCTCACATAGACGCACATGCAGACAAAACACCAGTGCACATAAAGTAAACCATTAAATAAAAAAGAACACGCGCTCTTAACTGCTAAGTTCTCCCTCCAGCCCATGTTGTACAAATTTTTAACAGAAATATGTGTTTCCTAAGGAAATATATGTGTATCTTAAACATATTTTTAAAATCCAGCCTGACTTTTTAACTCTTTTGATTGCAGCCTGAGATGTGGTCATGCCAGGCAGACTTCTCCAGAGCCTGGCCTCTTTACACAGCGTGTCATCAAAAGCACGGCAGTGCAGGAGGTTCCCTCGGCTCCCTGGGCTCCCGTTAAAACCACGTTCGGAATCTGGAAGCACAGCATGCCGGAGCCCCCTGAAAATACAGACCCATTTAGGTTCATTCTGTCCTAGTGTAAGAGCTGACAGCTGGAATAAGCCAAAGATCCTGGGAATGAGCTGGATAATACCAAACACAAGCGGAGTCTCTCCATTACATGTTGGCCGTTGTTGGGATGGAGAAGCAAGTCTGCCAGCCATGTGCCCCTTTGGGACTCCCAGGAAAGCGACTTACAGACCAAATCTCTTATGCTCTAAGTGGTTTATAAAAACAGTAAAAAGGCATTACTCTGTATCGACAGACACACTTGTTCCAAAACAAGACCTTCCACAGATCAAGAGGCCCCTGAAGGCATCCCGGACCCGTCAGCCATCCAGGAGCAACCTCCCAGACCTATCTGTGAATGAGGTAAAGCCTACTAGTTCAGTGGCCCCTGAGTGCATCCGTCCTTGTGTACCCTCTGCCTGCATGTGTTGCACCATACCCTCACTGCCATCGTAGGGCAATTGGGCAGCCAGCTGAGAATTCTGTTCGAGACCTTTGAAGCGTGACATAGCCAAACCAACAAAAAGTTTATCTTGCAAGAGCTAGTTGCCCGTATCACGTGTGGCACAAAAGGCCTCCATCATTGTTCAGGGGGGCTGGTGAGGCCTGAGACAATTAGAAAAGGTGCATCCATCCAGTCCAGCCAGGGGGCAGCTGTGAGAATACCTGCTTCGTGTTGTAGTTGTTGTTGTTTGTTTGTTTGTTTTTTTAAATTGAACCAGAGGCTGGGGAGGGAGGTGGTGCACATTTTTATCCCAGCACTCTGGAGGCAGAGGCAGGTGGATCTCTGTGAGTTCGAGGCCAGCCTGGTCTACAAAGCAAGTTCCAGGACAGGCTCCAAAGCTACAGAGAAACCTTGTCTCAAAAAATGAAAAACAAAACAAGAATTGAACCAGCAATGCATCAGGAAATTAAGATTTACCTGCCAACCGGCAGGTGTTTGTTACCAGCCTGTGGTGGCTGCTCAGGGTGAAGAAATGACACACCAGAGAGAATGGAAGCAGTCAGGTCTTGCGGTTTACCCTCTAGAAGTTCAAGAACTTTTTGGTATTGATTTTTATTCACTGTTAAGGAGTTTCTGAGATTTTTTTTCAGGGGCCATTTGCATTTGTCCTCCAAGCTATAAACAGTTTAAGGTCAGAGTTCACTTTATATCTTGGATGATGTCTTCACCATGCCTTGTACTCAGATGAGAAAAGAGGCAAAGGCCTTTACTGTCTGTAGGGTTGTAGGTGGCGCTGCACATATCCGGTCTCCATTTCAGCTCAGGAGGCTGAGTCAGCTGGAAGATGTGTTTAGCAAGGTCCTGTTTGCAAAGAAAAGAACGTGCATGTTTCAGCCTTGGTTGGGCCTCCTGAATCTGCCAGAACAGTAGAATGTCTGTCTTCAGACTTGAGAGGCTGGCCCCTGAGCGTGTTTATATTGATGGGGCTTGTTTTAACAGATTCTGAAAAGGGAAACTTTGTCAAGCACCTCGTGGCTCAGAAGGCTGAGACAGGAGGATCAAATTTGAGGTCAGCCTTGGCTATATAGTGAGACCTACTTTCAAAAGAAAAAGAAAGTACAAGCTGAGGCCATGATTAATCCCAGCACTTGGGAGCCTGAGGCAAACAGATCTCTGAGTTCAAGTCCAGCCTGGTGTGGGTGTGTGTGTGTGTGTGTGTGTGTGTGTGTGTGTGTGTGTATCTCAGGTCTCCGCCCAGCCAAGGCTAACTAACAAGGCGTTGTCTCAGTAAAAAGAGAAAAAACATGCCACCGTGCACATGCCTGGTCGTTGGACATTGAAGGACTTCATGGATGGCTTGTATTTGGATCCCAGTTTGGCTTCACTCCTGTGCTGCCTCTACCCAGACTGTCACAGATGGCAGTTTCTGCAGCAGGGGCCTTCTGCCAGAGCCTTGGGGTGCTCTGCCAGTTAACGTAGCCTCCAGCCTTCTTTCCTACCTCCGCAGAGGTGGAGCCGAAGGGTGCACATTTTGAATCAGAGTTGGTGTTCCCAGCATCCAGTCCCTATCATGAATTCACCCAGAGCCCATGAGTTATCTTAATAGACTAAACAGCATTGCTTTCGTGCTAAAAATTCCAGGGGGTATGGAATGTGTGCCAGGAACAAGAAGAGACCCAGGTGATGCTCCAGTGTCCCGTATCACTAGGGAACTACACTAGTTTCAGCTCGACAGGGAGCTAAGGATGAAGGCTAAATCCACGTTCCTTCTGTCCTAGTGTCAGAAAAACGGAAGCAGCATTGCCATGCAGGCTCTCATGCTGCAGGAGCGACGCTCTCAAAGAGGAAGCACGTAGATTGCTAGCTCCATCTGCTGGACCGTGTGTCTTCTGTAGCCAGAGGAGTGATCTGATCCAATAACTGTTTAAGAGGCTTTGGTCACCTACTTAGGAACAGGTTCCCATCCCAAACCTTAAGTATGTGCCAACATATGTAAATTTAACTAGCACTTTAAAATAAAGATATGCTGTAAAAGGTAGAAAAGACTTATGAAAATGAGAGCTGCTTACATCAATAGGCCAAACCAAAAAATAACAAAAAAACAAATTCAGCCTACTTCATGAGTCCCTTTCCTCTTTTGAAATGGGGCTTAAATAAATACCAAACAAGATTTCAGAGAGTCTATTTATAAAACTTTTGAGGTGCTGGGTGGTGGTGACACACACCATTAATCTCAGCACTCGGAAAGCAGAGACAGGTGAATCTCTGAGTTCAAGGCCAGGCTGGTCTACAGATCTAGTTCTAGAACAGCCAGAGCTACACAGAGAAACCCTGTCACCAAAAACAAAACAATAGAAAAAGAAAAAACAGCTTGTGAGGCATTTATTAATAGAAGCATTCCGCGGCTGCACATGCAGGAGTACAGGGAAGTCGTTAACCTGAGTTAACTCTCCGGAGAGATGCTCTCCAGCATGGGAGAGGACAGCTTCCAGCACAGACTCTGCTAAGTAGAGACCGTGTGTCTGAAGATGTGTTCTTCATCTAGACACTGGCCCGCTTTCTCCTGAGCGAGGTAGCCACAGGCCCACCCTCTTCCTGCATTTTCTCCTCTTAGGCCAGTCTCCGCTTTCTGCATCTGCTCTTCCCACGGCAGCTCAAACCGTGCTGTCCCAGAAGTCAGTCAGACACCCACCCTGCTGCCCTGATTCTTCCCCAGAAACTTCAGAAAACACTCCGGGTCTCACTGAGAGGAGCCTGCCCGCTGTGTCCTGAAAGAACTCCTTTCAACCATCTTAACCTCTGCTCGCATCACCCCGGACTCTTGGGAGCCCCTCATATCCAGAAGCACACGCCTGCCTGCTACCTGCTGCAAACTGCCACCCCCACCTCTGGCTCCCTTGACCCATGGATGTTATAAAAAGCATATCATGCTTTCTCGAATGTGACTGTGAAATCTAGCTTACCAGCTGTCTGCAAAGGGAAGGCCACTTGGTTGTTCCCGGTCACTTGGCTTGCTTAGCCCTGAAATAACCACAGAGAAACTGTATTAATTAAACCACTGCTTGGCTCATTAGCTCTAGCTTCTTATTGGCTAACTCCTACGTCTTAATTTATCCCATTTCTAGTAATCTGTGTATCGCCACCTGGTTGTGGCCTACCAGCTAAAGTTCCCAGTGTCTATATCAGGCAGCGGATCCATGCCATCTACCTGAGTCCACCCTTCTTTTTCCCAGCATTCAGTTTAGTTTCCCCTGCCTACCTAAGTTCTGCCCTATCAACAGGCCAAGGCAGTTCCTTTATTCATTAACCAATAAAAGCAACACATAGACAGAAGGGCCTCCCACATCAAGGAGGGTGCTGTTTATCTCCACATTCTTCACTAGTTGCAGCTTATCTGACTTGGTTTCTTCTGGAGTTAGACAGTTGTGAGTGCCGTGCGGGTGCTAGGAATCAAACCCAGGTCCTCTGGAAGAGTAGCCACTGCTTGCTATTAACTGCTGATCCATCACTAGTCCCTGGCTCAGTGGGCTATACACTTCGATTGGGGCTATACTACACTACACTTCTGAGCAGGTGTTTCCTTGACTTGCCATTCCATCTTAGTGTGGATGTTGACGCCATCCTCCACTGGTTCTGCTGCTGCCTATGAAGCAGGACAGAATGTATGATGAATTCAGGAAGAGGGAAGGTTAGCTGAATCCGTTTTTTGAGAAGTTGAGAGTTAGTCTAGAGTGGGAAGGATGAAGTTCTTACAGTGCCCCACCAAGGTTCACGCTGAGAACACCAAAGCATGGGGAGAGCCTGGCATGGACAAGTAGACAGCAACAAGTCGTTCTAGTAGACTGTGAACAGGTCTGAGCACTTTATCAGCAGCCCTAGAAAGCAAGCATTTTATTAATGCAGTGCACTTTCCCCAAAATTCTATATCTGAAATCTTTGTGACAGTTTTGAAGCTGTTGGTTTTCAGACTTTGGGCCGTATTTCTAATAAAAAGAATATTTACATATATAGTGACCCAAATGTACGGCAGACAGCTGTGTGACATTTGTTCTTAGGAGTAATGTTTTGCACCATTCCTGCTGGCTTTGTGTTGCAGTGCCGAGGATCACACTGTACATGCTAGGCATGCCCCTCCTCACCTTACTTGTCTGAAAAGCTGGTTCAGGTGCTGGAGAGATGGCTTGGCAACTAATAGTGCTGCCTGCTGTAGCAGAGGGCCCAGGTTCAAACCCCAGCATCTACGCCAGGTGGCTCATCTGTGTATCGCCACCTGGTTGTGGCCTACCAGCTAAAGTTCCCAGTGTCTATATCAGGCAGCGGATCCATGCCATCTACCTGAGTCCACCCTTCTTTTTCCCAGCATTCAGTTTAGTTTCCCCTGCCTACCTAAGTTCTGCCCTATCAACAGGCCAAGGCAGTTCCTTGACTACCTATGACTACAGCCCCAGGCGATCATCCTACAGCCTCTGGCCTCCACAGGAACCTACATAAACATGGTGCACAGAGAAACTCAATGCAGGCATACACACATACATATAAATTAATCATAAATCTAAAAAACTGGTTTGAGCCAACTAAATTGATAGGAAACCATCCAAATGGGTTGCCGTGCCCTGTGCTATCTGAAAAGGCACTGAGTATTGCTTACACACACACACCGGGACTGTTTGAGTAACACTCTGCTGTGTCCTGGAATGCGAACCGGAGGGTATCCTCAGATGCACAGACCACTTTATTTCCTGCATGCCAGTGAAAATACTGGATCTTTTGTGGCATGAAAGATCTCTCCTCATGCAAAGCTAGTGACAATGGAATGACGTTGGCTGCAGCCACAGCCTCTTTGCACTAGCAAACTGAAATGTCTTCCAGCCGGGCTTCCATACTGTGTTCATTCTGTTTGATCCCGCACTGGTGCAGAGGCCTTCACTTTCAGTGTTGCCCTGCCCGCTTTTTTGGCTAGTGGAATCTTTTGTACCTTGAGTGGAAATCTACCTCCGTGCAACTCATTCCTCTTCATCCTCACTGAACCCCACAAGCACCACTGAGATCCGGAATCACGCCCTCGGGTGCTGTTTTGGCAGGATAGGGTTCCCTAGTGGAATCCAACTGCCAGGGCAGGAGCTTGAGCCCTTTGCTAACCCTAGTCTATGCTCACCCCTGCACAGGACCTGATGCAGTGCACGGCCTTTGCGACCGCGGAGGAGTATCACCTGGGAAGTCTGTCGCAAGAGCTGGTCTCCTGCGGATATGTGGAGGTGACAAGCCTGCCTCGAGGTACTGCGGCCCTAACCCAGGGCCACGTAAGCTGTGTCTTAGAAAACAGCTCTCCTGCGGTGGCGTTTCCTTTCCGTTGGTTTGTAGTGGGAAGGTAGTCTCAGGGGTCCTTATTCAAATGATATGATTAAGCACACCTGTAGAGAAGTTTTGGATTAAGATAAATGTGCTTTGCTTATCTTTATAGGGTGGATCGCTGTCATTTGAGATGGGGGGGATGTGTGTGTCAGCTTCCCGCTGCTGTACTAAATACCTGCAGTCAATTTAAAGTTAATCAGGAAAGGTCGATGTTAGCTCCCATTTTGGAGGGTCCAGTCCATGGTCAGACCCCATGTTTGGGAGTCTGTGTTGAGGCAGCGTATCCTGGCAAAGAGTGTGTGGCAAGGGAAACCGCCCTACAGAACGATGAGGATCCTTCTCAAGGGTGCACATCCAATGACCTTTCTTCCTTCCAGTAGTCCTCACCTCTTAAAAGTTGCAGTACCTCCCAGTACAGTGAGCTAGGCCCAGTGTTCTCACAGGCGGCCAAGCCACTGCTCCTTACGCTGCTTCACTGTCGCATTAGAAAGCTATTTTAGCCAGCAGTGGTGGCGCACGCCTTTAATCCCAGCACTTGAGAGGCAGACGCAGGCGGATCTCTGTGAGTTCGAGGCCAGCCTGGTCTACAGCGTGAGTTCCAGGAGAGCCAGGGCTGTTACACAGAAAAACTCTGTCTCAACAAAAGAACAAAACTCCGTCCAGAGCTCCTGAGATGAAAAATGGGTCAGGGGTTGCCATGACTGCCACTGATGTGACCCCGCGTGTCTTCATTTCCTTTGCCGTAGTCTGGGGACTGGCAAGTATGCTCCAAAAGGTCGTTTAGGGGTCTTGTCGCTGTCAAAAGTCTACCAGGAATCCTGATGTTAGAAACCAAGAAAGAGAACTTGTTCCTCCAATGTCAGCACTCAAGAGGCTGAGGAGGACCACAGGTGGGAAGCCGTCCTGGGTTATGCTAGCCGTGGTCTTAAACACATAGAAATGTAAAAAGGAGAAGGAGAAATCGTACATAACTATACAAATGAGTAACAATGTTTTAATTGGCATATTCTGTTTGTAATTTACATATAGAAGATATGCAAGGGTTGGAGAGCCGGTTCAGAGCTTAAGAGCACTGACTGCTTCTGGGGTCCTGAGTTTAATTCCCAGCAACCACGTGGTGACTCATGACCATCTATAATGAGATCTGGTGCCCTCTTCTGGCCTGCAGGGAAACATGCAGGCAGAATACTGTATTTATAATAAATCTAATTAAACAAAAAAAGAAGATACGCATACAGGAACTCTTACTACACTAATAGGTAAAACAAATACTGATGAATATTGATATATTCAACAGTATTAAAAGGATTTAAAATGTTATGTTTAAAGTAATTATAGTAGTAGATTTCATGATTGGCCTTCAAATTGTCTAAGTTTTTAAAATACCGCTTTTCTTTTCTGTGTTCATTTTCTATCGTCGAAACTTTACACAATTTAATTTAAAATTCATGGGGTGGGGGATATGAATCAGTTTTTAGTGTTTGTACGCACACAGCCCTGGCTTTGACCACCAGCATCGGTAAAAGCAAGCGTGCTGGTCCACACCTGTAATCCTAGCAGGTCTGGGCCTAGGGATCCGGAAGATGTTCAAGGTCGTCATTAATTACACGTGGAGTTGGAGGCCTACTGAAGAACGTGAGACCTTAACTACATAAGTATAAGAATTTTAAGAGGCATTTAAAGAAATAACATATTAACTATATATGTATTATTTTAAATTAATTTTGTACAAAGACATTTAATTCCTGATAGCTATATTGAACATAAAGCTGTAATATTTATTAAGTGAACCACTGGCTACTGAGTCAGAAATTGGTGTGAATGGGCAGTTGTAGGTAACACTGCTAATGTTACAGGTTGTAGACTGTTCTAGGAACAAAATTTCGTACTTTCCAATTTCATTTTCTTTTTTTTTTTTATTTTTTAATTTTATTTTGGTTTTTCGAGACAGGGTTTCTCATTAGCTTCGGAGCCAGACTTGGAACTCACTGTGTTGTAGACCAGGCTGGCCTCGAACTCACAGAGCTCCACCTGCCTCTGCAGGTGTTGGGATTAAAGGCATGTACCAACACCCGGCTCCAATTTCATTTTCTAAGATTTTCATTTTTTTTAAAGTATTATTTATATGGGCATTTTGCTTGTATGTATGTCTGTGCACCATGTGCTTGCCTGGTACCCTACAGAGTCCACAGAGGATGTTGGATCCCCTGAAACTGAGGTTACAAGTGGTTGTGAGCCACTGTGTAGATGCTCAGAATTGAACCTGAATCCACTGGAAGAATAGCTGTGCTCTTAACCTCTGATCCATCCTCTAAGATTTATTTTTATTTATATATGTGTCTCTGTGTGCATGCACATGTGTGTGCCAGTAGAGGGTGTATGATCACCTGGAGCTGGAGTTACAAGTGGTTGTGAGCCACCAAACGTGAGTTTTAGGAACAGAACTCAGATCTTCTGCAAGAAGAGCAAACACTCATAACCGCTGGGCAGTCTCCCCAGCCCCTATTTTGGTTTTGGTGGGGTTTTTTGTTTTGTTTGTTTGGGGTTTTTATTTTTTAGTTTTGTTTTGGTTTTGCTTTAGTTTTCAAGACAGGGTTTCTCTGTGTATACTTGGCTGTCCTGGTACTAGCTCTGTAGACCAGACAGGTCTGGATTCAGATTCCTGCCTGCCTCACCTCCCAAGGCTGGGTTTGAAGGCATGCACCACCACCGCCTAGCCCATTTTCATGTGTTAAAACCCTTCTTCAGTGGGAAGTTGATAGTGGAACATCCGGGGTTGTGAAGTGATCCTCAGAACAGATTACAGCGTGGCAGGCCACTCTCTGCAGTTTATGTCACCTCTCGACACGGCCTTGACTGACGTTTTAAATCACAGATGCAGCAAATATTTTGGTGATGGGTGTGGAGAACGCTGCAAAAGAAGGTGATCCCGGAACAATATTCTTGTTCAGGTAAGACAGGATCAAAATGGCTTTGGGAAGTTAGTTACACGCAGATGATTGGAGTCTCTAGGGTGGGCATGCCTCTCCTGGGATCTTCTTATGCCAGTGCATTTGAGGTTTGAATTTGTCATCTGATTGTGACTTCATCTTGGACAAATGTCAGGGTTATGAATCTCCTGGTAAGTCATCTTTTTTAAAATATGTTGATTTTATTTTATGTGCATGAATTTTTTGCCTACATATGTATCTGTATACTATGTGCATGCCTGCCTGAGGAGACCAGAAGAGGGTATTGGTACCCCCGGTACTGGAGTCACAAATGGTTGTAAGTTATTGAATGTGGGTCCTCTGGAAGAGCAGTTACTTCTCTTAGCCATTGAACGCTTTCTCCAGCCCCTGGTAGATCAACTTATAAGATGAAAATTTTTAGTACAAGTAAATCATCGTTGCCTGCTGTCTGTCCCTGAATATTCAAAGAGTGCAGAGCAGCCTTGTCACTGTCCTTACGAGGCTCCATGCCTGCTGCCTCCCCTCCCCTTCTGTCGGGTTTCAGCGGAGGTTTAGCCTGCCGTGGCCATTCCAGATGCCTAAGAGAGGGACCCTGGCTCACACATTCTTGTCCTTTTAAAGACTGGAATGACAGGAAAATGGCAGTAGCAGCCATGTGTCCCATTTAGCAACCAAGAAAAGGGAGGGTCAGACGCATTTGGGGAA